GTGTCCATCAGGTAGTGTCCATCACCTGGTGTCCATCAGGTAGTGTCCAACAGCTTTTATATTTTTTTAAATGTTGTGATTTACATGAAAAAGGGTGAAATTATGTTGGCTAATCTCACTTTCTGATGCTTCAGTTATGCTTCTCCAGTTATACAAAAAAGCTTAGATAACGTAATATTCAATCCACTAATTTATTTATGCTACAAATTATATAATATCAATCACGAAATAAAGGCACCACTGAAATATTTACATGTAAATGTAAATTTTCACATTATGCACATTTTAACGGTAGTACGACTAACAAAAGTGACGCTGTTACACTCCTCCTTAGCAGTAGGTGGCAGTAATGCATCTGAAGGTTATTTGCCAACTTCTCCTAAACAAGGAGTAGAGAAAGAAGACAAAAACTGAACTATTTCCAACACATTTAAACATTTCGAATTTGTAATTTATACCTGTACTTTTTAAAAGCTGTAACTTTGTACATTGAATTTTAAACCTCATTTTCACACAGATCAGAACATTTAATCTCACAGCTATGTACAAAATGCCATCAAGTAACAACTCTTGAATCTTCATGTTTACTGACGTACATGTACGTATTTACACACCTAAAGGTATGTTTTTATTAGCAGTTATTTCACCCCATAGATTTCCCAATCAGAAGAAGTGAAACCAGCAGGAAACACCTCTGTGTGACGACATCCCAGATTACTGTATCTAAAGTCCGGAACTGAAGTCCTAAAACTCTTGCGCTGACCCAAACTCAGCCATGCTCATTGGGTTCTCTGTGTTCTCAGGTAATTCTGCTGCTAAAACCGACGGCTCCACGCTTTCCTCCCACGACACCAAAGACGACAGCAGAGAGCTGACTCGGCCCAGCAGGCCTGCAGTGAGTTCGCATTTTTAACCAACACAAACAAACACGTCCATCCATCTGTGTGTGAGAGCGTCCCACTGGCTGGGCGCTAAACTACGGGTTGACCATGATGCTGTTGGTTCTGTCTCTCCTCTCATCCTGTCCTCCATCTGTCCTTCTGTCGTCCTTCAGAGTTATAAAAAAGCTTTAGACGAGGTCAGTGACATTTCTTCTCTTCCACCTGTGTCTCTCTCTCTCTCCCACCGTCCTCCCTGTTTTCTGTGTTCTGGTCCGTCTTCAGGCATGCCAGGTTGCTCATTTCACATTTTCCTGTTTGAGGAATGTTGGAGGAATAAAACCCCAACAAGAATGATGTGGATCAAACAGTGTGGAATAAAAAGAAACATAACTGGGTTAAAATCTGTATTTTACATTCAAAGCACTGCAACCTGAGAATTCAGAAGCCATTTCTGATTCCTTGGACTGATTTTCTAGAACCCTGGCCTCAATTAGAGAACAGTATATGTACCAGATCTGCTCAGATCTGATTTGGAGTGTTGGCCTGGTGGGTTAGAGCAGTGCTCTGAGAAGGTTGCAAGTATCTGGTTTGATCCCCGCAGCCTCCAATCTGGGTCTCCGAGCAAGACCCTTAACCCCGCACTGCTCCCCAGGTGCCGCACAATGGTAGCCCACTGCTCCCCAAGGAGATGGGTTAAACGCAGAGGTGAATTTCTCCAGTGTGAGATCAATAAAGTTCAATTAAATTAAATAAATAAAAATATTAAGTTCTGCTCGGGGCCCTGCCCCTGCTGATGACGTCAATATATGGCAATACCACTCGGACAAACTGTGTTGCATCCATTTCATAGGAATCAAATTTTTTTCTGGATTACTACCTTTAATTGCAATTTAACTGCAATTACCGCTTTCCTCCTCTAAATAAAAAATGGATGATGGAGGAGACTCATCCACGACCTCCGACACTAAACTCTCCTCCTCTTGCATGTTTCCTCTGTCCATAGCGTTCCTTGACAGCGTCGTTTCTAAGTCACCAATTTAGTGCTACTTGGTCCCAATGGAATTTCCCATTGGGAACCTGCTAGCACTCAGTTGCTAACTGGTTAGCAACATGCTTTCAAGACACCGGCCACAATCAAACTTGCTTGCAAACCTTCCGCCACAACAACCTCGCCCCCTTGATAATTGACCAATCACATTCACTTTATTCACTGGTGTAAAGTCGGGCACCACTCGGGAGAATTTGGAAATGCAAAATGTTGGAACAGCTGCTTCCCTACGATTTTAAAATGCAGCATATCCATATTTTCTAGATGGAATTGAAATTGTAGATTCTAGGGATGCTTGATTTATCGATTTTGGGATCGGCTCTTATTGGTTATTTTTCTATACATTAATATTTTTTGGCCCTATATATGTAATGCACTAAAAGGCATCTTTCTAAGATCTATAAATATAAATATCAGTGTATTGTGGTTCTCCTGTGTTCTAAACAATAGGAAAGCATTCAATAAATATATGTTTGAACTCAATTTTGGAAAATACAAAAACCTAATGAAAGCGTCCATCAGCCCCCACCCTTAAAGTGTCACCACCAACTTTAATCACCCTTGCCCGAATGTACGTATATCTGTTCATGCATTCGCAGGACGGATCGTGCTTCCGGGACGGATCGGGTAGTGACAGAGACATTACTGATTTCTTATTAGTTGTGTCTAGTAACGTTAGCAAATCGTCTTCAGCCTAATAGCTGTAGTTCGCCACGGTCATTAATGTGTTCTCACAACACTAGCAATAAGCTATAAAATGATTATTGTTAATTCTGAACTTCGTATTAGCTAAGCTAATGTTAGCTTCACTATAGCTGAATATAAATATTTTCATTTCATTTGAGCTTTATGCTACTGTGAATCATATCGCAATGGTTTCCAAAGTGGGGCCCCTGGGGGTCACAAAACAGCAAGTGGGGTCCGCAAGATGATTTTCCCAATCATTGTGATGTTTAAGGTATATGTCAGACCAAAATACTATATATAATTAAATACATAAATATGAATGTAAATGTATTACATTTTAGATCGTAGACTGTATTTATATTGATTAATATATTACCATATATGTAGTATTAAATTATAAAATACACAAATGCATAATTTAATGTCCCATATGATAATTACAAAAGGGTTTAAAATAATGACTGAGACACTAAATAATTGTATTGAAAATGTATATAGTCACATATTTTTAGGGGTGCATCAGTCTGTGGCAACGTCGTTTTATTATGTGGGATGATATTACGCAGCTTGGTGCAGGGCTGTTAATAGGAGGATTGGGGCCCTTGGGCTGAAGCTACAGTGGCTGTTGATCCCTTTCCAGACTGTTTCTTTTCTGTCTAATGCCAAAAAAAAAGATTAGATGGACAATAGATTTATCCAGCTTCCAAGAGCATCATAACTTCAATATTTTAATTTAAATATTTCTCCCGCAAAGTTTTTATTTATCAGTTGTTTGTTTTAATGAAATGCAAATATCCGCTAAACATCATAACAGAGTATAAACATTTATTCATTGCGTCGCTGAGATAAAAACGCTGGTGTTTTCCAGATTTTCACCCAGTTATACCTTCTCTTTTATTTCCCTCTCATGTGACATAATGCTGCTGAACTGTTTTCCCATTTTGTCAGACAGGAAGTCGACATTTGATCAGTTACCGTACGACTCATGACTTCCTGTCGTATCCCTCGGTGGAAACGTCACTTTATTCATCTCTGCAGTCATGGTTCATTTTCACGGTCCCACTTTCTCTCTTTTTATCTTCCATTTTACCCTCCCTCTCTTTCTCATCAGGAGGAGTTGGTAAGATGACTTCCCCCCCTCACCCCCCCCACTCCCACCAGCCTTACCAAAGCCTCTCGCATCCCTGCTGTGATCTCTTGGGCCAGATATTTCTCTGGTTGCTTCTGTTTTTATGCTGTGATGTGTCAGTGCAGCAGCCATGTTGCTGCAGGAATCTCACTGTTTTTGTTCATCTGTCAACATCTGGTTCATAACTAAGATATTCACCAGTATTTCATTTAAAAGCCAGCTATGTATGACCAGGAAACTGTAAGAGACAGGTATAAATTATGTTTCAGGCCTTAATTTCTCCATTACTATGTGTTTAAGTTAATTTTATTTTGTTTTTCACTGTAGTTTCTTTTTATTTGATTAATTATTGTTTAATTAAGTGCTTTATTATAATCAATTTAAAAATGTTTAATTAGAATATGGCTCCATTGTGAATGTATTCTATTTTATTTAACTTTACTTATTTTAGTGTTTCTTATTTGTAGAATTAATGTTTTATCCAGTTTTCAATCTTAAAGGTTTTTTTTATATTTTTTTAAACTACTTTTTTTCGGAAGGTTTAGTTTTAAAATAAAATAAAGGAAAATATTTCTCTAAAGAATATGTCAAAATGAATTATTAATTAAACATTAAAAGGTGTAATTTTAACAAATAATTACAGGATAAAAAGAAGGAAATATATTTTTGGAAATTTTTTATAATCACCAAAATCTAAATAAATAAATCATATATGAAAAGTTAAGTTAGAAGTTGTTTAAAGAAAAATGATAAAATAAATAATAATAAATGATTAAAATAAAAGTTTTAATGATATAATGTGGTCATTTTCTATTGCATTATTTTATCTTTTTAAAACCGATCTAGATTTAGAAAATAAATGATTAAATAGTGCTTTATAGTTTCAATTTGTCAATATTTATACTGTATATATTAATTCCTTGGGAATAATATAATTCCTTTCATTCATTAATGTAGATATTCAGTCAGATTATTTGTTCTAAAACAATAAATTAAGTGCATCCAGATAAGTCATAAAATTGACCGTCTGCTGATTGAACTTGTGAATCCTGCTGCAACACGCTGACTCAAGCATCACACTATGAGACAGTCGTTGCATCTCAGTTTATTTATCTGTGGCTGCTGGATGTAGAATGTGAATTTGAAGTTATCTGAAGTGTGACCTGTAGCACTGAGGCATGGTAAATGTCTGTAGTTCAACTCCCCTCATGTCTCTGTTTTCTCCTCCTGCTCGCTGCCCCCGTCATTACAGAGATTCAGAAAGAAATTCAAATGGAGCGTACTAACAACCTGCATGGTGTCTCCAAGATTTGTTATGTTTTTGTGATATTCTGCCTGCTGGATTGTTTGGCCTGAACTCCTGAGCTGAAGGGTTTCTTATCACCAAAAGGTCTTTAGAAGCAAAGCTTTCATTCTATTCTTATAAGAAATGTTTTTAAAACTGTCCTTCTCCCTTAGTTTATGAATTATTTTCTTAAAATATATTGGTTACTTTCTGAAATGTATCAGGGATTTAAATATTTCTTTGTTTCCTATAACTTTAAAGGTTAACTTCCTAAATGATTTTGTGCAACTTTCTAAAACGTAAAGGTTACTTTCTTAAATCTATGAGTTGCTTTTAAAAACTTATATTTATTGTATTAATTATTTGTTAATCAGAGATTATTTTCCAAGGACTTACTGATCATTTTCTATAATAGAACTGTTATTCTTTGGGAATCCAATGTTACTTTCCAAAACTTACGTACTTAAAATGCAAAGGCTTGCTTCTTTCCCCAAATGAAGAAGTTGCTTTTATGAAATTTAAAGGTTAAATTAAAGAGTAGTTACTTTCTTAAATCAAAATATTACCATGTATAAATTACCTGGTTTTAATTTTTAAATTATAAGTAAACTTATAGATTCGTTAACAGGGACTCAATCTAACTTTTTAACAAGCATTAATGCAATGTAACCTTCCTGGAACTTTAAAGTTCCTTTTAAGGAATAAATTTGTTATTTTGCAGAATAATTTCCTCTAAAATCACTCATCGTCACTTCTAAAAACCTGCTTTTACTTTCTTAACTGCAATTTACTTTGCAGAACATCTATGGGACTTTTTTTGTATTGTTCTAAAACTTTTGCACCTTTTTTTGCATCTTAGTTTTATCAAACACTCAGGTTTGTTACTAAAAATAAACTGGGATTTAAATATTACTTGATTGGAAGTTATTAGTTTATTTAGCTTAATTTTAAATGTTGATTTCTTTTACCGTTTTATTGAACTTTCCAAAACATACTTAAAAAATGGTATCTAGTATTATTTCATTATTATTTTTAAAAGATGATCAATTCTTTCATAGGGACTTGCTGCTCACTTTCACAAGCATAACTGTTATTTTTGGGAATATTGGTGTTACTTTCCAGAACTTACCTTGCTTTTAGTTTTAGAATAAATCCTTAGAAATCACCTGAAAATTACCGGATACTTTTCTAAATTAAACTTTTTTTTAAATTAAACTAAATTAAGCTAAATTAATCACTTTATTTAACTTAGCTTTATATATGTATTTATTTATCTTAACATAATTCATAATTCTTACAGATTTTAGATTATTTTGCTGATTCATTTTCTGGAAAGAAAAAAAAACTGCTTACATATCACTTTTTAACTGCAACTTAGTTCGCAAAACTTTTATGGGATTCCTTTTTTCTTTATTTTGAAAACTTATAGATTGTTTAGTAGCATTTTACAGGTTACTGTTCAACAATCCAAATGTCACTTTCTAGAATGCAAATGTTAGTTTTATAGAACTTACAGGCTTCTGCCATAGTAATGTAGATATGCAAAAGATTTCCTGTAAACTGGAAAAGCTGGAACTTAGAGGCTACTTTACAAAATTAACACGTTACTCTATATATTACTTTCTTAAATCTGCATATTACATTTTAGAATATATCATTTAATTATTTATTTATTTCAAGGCATATGTGTTACTTAACTTACCCTCCATAGAGCTCATGGGAATAGGGAACAGAGGGAGGGAAGGAGTAGGGAGGAAGGGAAGGTAGGATGTAGGGAAAGCAGAATAAGTAGGGAAATGGCGGGTTGAAGCCCATAAAGGTGGTGAGTATGTATCTGTAGCCATGGGAGATGTTGATGTATGTATGCCAGTTTTAGATGAAGATGTAGTGTCTATCGGGGAGACCGTGGTTGTTCCTGGACACCAGATTCCAGATGTAGGAGAAGTGGTGGTGGAGCATCTGTTTGCTTAACATCCAGCAGAATGTGTGATTGGCAGCCTTCAAGGCCGACACATCGGAGCCAATTTCAGATAATGACAATCGTTCAGATAAAAACTGTTGTTTAACTGTTTGCCATAAAGTCTTATTAGAAACTCTCTGTGGTGAAATTCCGCTCCTCCGAATTTCTTGGTCGCTCTTGCAACACAACTTTGGCAAAGCTTTGAAAGTGTCCTCAAGTGCAGTCGCAAAAACCATCAAGCACTACAAAGAAACTGGCTGACATGAGGACCACCCCAGGAAAGAATGACCAAGAGTCACAGCTTACAGCTTTTTTTTCACAATCTATTTTACTCTACCTGGGATCCGGAAGTTCAGCTGGTCTGTAACCCTCAGCGAGGATCGTCTCCAGTTTGGGATTCTGGTCCAATAGCGTCTGATTCTGAGTTCTGATGGCTCAACATATTCCATCACATCGGCCAGACGGCCTCACCTCTCCAAACAGCTGCCAACACTTTCCGAATTTCATGATAGGCCAGGTAGCCACCAAGTCCAATAGGCAGAAATCCAATAGCAATAATCCAGTTATGCATCTTCATCGTCCTCCACAGACAGACACATTATCCTCCACTTCCCCCAGGAATCCATAACATGCTGAGCAGCATGTGTCTCCAGAGGACTGTCCTTTGATCAGTAGCTACGTTTACATGCGCAAAATTTCCCCGATCCGATCCAAACCTTGGTTGATCGGAAATTCAAAATCTCCGTTTACATGGACACTAAATGAAATGATCCGATCATGACGTGTGTATACATGTACCAAGCATTGGATCAGATTAAATCTTTTAAGCATGCGCAGAACTTCCTGCCAAACTTGGCAGTTCTGTCTGCGTCTGGTTTTTGGGAGGCCTGACAAACGATGCGCTCGGAGCGAGCGGAAAGAAAAACGGAGAGAGGAGGAAAAAAGCGATTGGCAGCGAAATGTCCGAGAGAAAATGTAGAGAATGAGCGATTGAACCGGCGTGGGAGAGCGAGTGGGCTGTGGAGAGAGAAAAGAGGAAGAGGAGGAGGATAAATTCCTGCTTCCTGCAGCTTTAAATGAACTTGAGTGTATAAGTCGGCGTTCCTAGACTCCCCCCGCCATGTTGTTCACAACAAGCGCGAGAGCGACCGGTGGTTTCCTGTTGTTGACAAGGCGGAAAAACCTCACGCTGACGTCGCACACATGCGCAGTGAAGATTATTTTACTCTTAAGATCCGAATGGGTGTTTACATGGACGCCAATCGGAATGGCGATCGGCAAAAACCACCTCTCTCATTCGGAATTAAATTTATATCCGATCGGACCGAATCGGATTAGAATCTTCAGTCTGACATGTTTACATGAAACATTTTTGATCTGATCAGGCCTTCAATCCGATTAGTTGTGTCCATGTAAACGTAGCTAGTGTCTTTGTGGAGGAAATTTGATCGAAAGCGTACAGAGGCCAACTGCCCAGATCCATAATTTCCACTCTTCAGAAGATATGCAGAGATGCTCCAAAATAAAACAAAAACACAGCAAAGCAGGTTGACATTTGCATTAACAGTAGTTACACTTCTAGTTTGTCCACTTCTAGTTCTTTATTATTTCTGCAGCACTAAGTCAGCCGTTCAGGGACTACCTGAGAGCGTTAGGTGGACAGTAGGTTTTAATGCTGTATATGTGGACAGTTTATTTAGTAGAAGAGGGTTTCTGTTGTGGTTTTAACACTGGCTGTATTATTCATGGGAAAAACAAGCGTCTGTAGCTGAAAAACAGGAACCTCAGTGATTGCATCACTATACTCTGTTACAGTTCAGAGGATAATGAAAAGCAGCGTAACTTTGGTAATCCCAGGAAAAAACCTCTGGAAAGTGACTCATCAAATTTGCGTAAACTTTGCAAAGTAACATGTAAATTTTCTAGAAGTCAAATTTCATTCCCTGAAAAGCCGAGCCGGTAATCAAATTACATTTCAGCTTTATTTTTGTTCTCTCAGCTGCAGTCAGAGGCTGAGAGGCTTAGAAAGAACTTTGATGTATTTCTTAATAAAACTGCACTCAGAGTCCAGCGAATCATCAGAGAATAAATGTTCTATAGTGGAAAAGCACTTTTTCACTGACAAACTCTTCTCTCAGCTTATTAATCAGATTTGTCTGAATTTAAAGTGTGAAATAAGTTCAAACGTTGGGATTATGTAGAGATGTGTTGATGCACATTTTATTTGTAAAGTTGTTTTTTTTTCCTCTCTTAGTGCTTTGAAAGCAACATTAAAACTAAATGTTACTGTAGCTTCATTCCTCTCATTTACCTGCTGACACACCTGCCTGAGCGAACAGAGCAGAACCAGTAACAGTGGATCCTCGTCCTGCAGGACCTGACGGCTCTGGCCAAAGAGCTGAGGGAGCTGCGGCAGGGAGAGGAGACCAGCCGTCCGCCCGTCAAAGTGACCGACTACTCCTCCTCCAGCGAGGAGTCCCACAGCAGTGAGGATGAGGAGGGAGAGGGCAGATCTAATGATGGTTCGGTTGCCGTTAGCGATATACCACGCATCATGTGAGTACCTTTAGATCTCCTTTAAAAAGAGGGAAGACCTTCATGCTTGGATTAGACAAATATGTTTTTTTTTTTCCTTTGGACTTTCAGGCCTCCAGCAAGTCAAAGCACCAACGAGTCCTTCGGTGAGGTCGGAGGTGAAAACGACAGCCACAGCGACTCGTATGGAGACAGCTCCCAGGACAACACGCTCATGATGAGAGAGGTGAGTACCAACTCTGAGCGCAGGCTGCTTCCCTGCAGAGCTGCTTTGGTTTGGGTCCATAGCACAGTCACGTTAACGCCATGAGGAGGAAATCTGGCCTCGTTTAGCTGCTGCTGGATCAGATGGCAGCACAAATACAAGCTGAAAGACACACTCATGGGACGTTGATGCAAAATAAAACAAAACTAAGGTTAAAGGTCAGGGGAGACACACAGGGAATGTTCTGTGTGTTGATGTTTAAAATAACTGGTTGTAGTTTTAATAATTTTCTTGGCCTATAAACTGACTTTTAGAACCAAACTGGACCTCTAGCAGCATCCCTAATGAGGAAGGGTTCCCACCAGCCTCCTCTGTTAAATGAATCCCCGCCAGCCCACCGCAAACACCTTCACAGCCAGCAGGGTCCAGCTTTATCATCATCCCCTTTCTCGCCGCTCAGGGCCCTCTTCTCTTCTTCCAGAGGTTTAGGGTACAGAGGCGGAGCTCTGCCCCCAGCAACGGTTTCCATGGCAGTACTAATCCGTTCCTCGGCAACATCAGCCTCCCAGATTTGGTGCAACAGAGCACCTTCTCTCTGGGCCACGCCTCCGGGGTCCAAGTAGGTTGAGCAGATCCCGGTCCCCTGAAAAACCTCCATCCCTGCTCTGATCCGGACCAACGTCCACCCCCTCCTCCATTCGACCCACCTCATCACCTGCCCACACTCTTTTACCCCAGTGGGAAATTCCCCGTGAATTTCCCACTGGGGAAAATTCTTCATGACGTCTAGAATCCATTAGACATTACAATAGATTGGAATAGAATAGAATAGAATAGAATAGAAT